TATGGGGACGAAACATTGAGCACCCATAGCTAGAAGGAAAACTCTCTACGGCGCTCATTAGGCTTCTGTGTGAAGATATTCTGTGACTTATGAAAACCAATATCAGTCAGGATTTTTTAATTCCGCGTTGGAAACGCATTGGGAATTTATTAGATAATGCTATGTCCAATACATAAACAAGGGCAATAGTAGGTATCTATATATAACATTGATTAACATTCCAACGTCGGATTGTTCCTAGCAAAAATGAAACGGTAAAAAAAAACTGGACGTGATGGACGGGTGGGGGCGTGTTGGAAATCCTGAAGCTTACTCTTTGTACTTGTACTGAACTCTGTTATTGAAGAGCGTACAGTAACCCAGTAGTACATACTTTAGGAAGAAAAGAATCCATAATCAAGGGCCCAAGTAGGAACGCCTTTAATCTTGCTCAGAAATGCCCGGTATAAACTCTCGGCCAAACTTCTTCAAATAAACTTCTGCTGCCGGGCTTGGGGACCAGCTACATGTTTCCATAACATTGAAAGAAGCTTTCTAAACAACCCTTCTTTGACAGAATTCGAATTGCTATTGATGCATATTTCTTTTAACGATATCAACAATTTGTATTACAAAAGGCATGCTTGTTTCGTATATGTACATCACGGTTTGTCCTTTTGTCACGTCATCGTGGGAAATGGCAACCACGAGCACGAGCTCTTTTACATAAAGAATCATCCTCGCGAGTTCCTCATCTGCTGCTGATTCCTGGTATATTAGTAACATATTCACTACGCAAGAGTGGAAACATTAAGTGGGCGATGAGCGAAAACAGATGCTTAAGGGTAACTGAAGTCATAAGGATACTGAGACTTGGAGAAAGCTGATACATTACGTCTTTTCCATGTTGAGGTATCCCGACGCTTGGTCACATATGCTTGACGTTCCCAGTTTCTCCTGCTGTACATCTCCTTAAAAGAACGCACCTTTGCAGTTTGGTGCTGGATTATGTCAATGAAATGAAGTGAAATGCTTGTTTTTGTCAGCACTGTGTATGGTGCGTAGCTTATCTTCTTCAGTACTGCCATTCTGTGTCTTTCCTCCAAACACAAGGATCGAGAACATGTTTGACCGTATTCATAGCTTTGTCTTACCAATCAGTAACCTCGAGATACTATACTTGTTTAGCGCTGACGAATTTTCTCAGGAATCATTTCATTATCTACATATAGAAATTATTTCTCGTTGAATTTCTGACTTAAATGGCTTCCAAGTCTTTTATTCTTCAATGAATCAATTAGTTGGCTCGGTAGCATGAATGTATTTTCTGATTGAACGTAACCGGGTTGGTCTTCGAGTATAATAAACGTGAATTATATTCTATTAAGCTGAAAATTTGCTACAATCGGCGTCACATATCTGCGCAGTTCTTTTTCTTTTCTGGTAAGCGTCGATGTCATTCCCGATATGGACTCTCCATGAATTAGGAAAGCACGAGATTCAGGTTTCTCCAATCGGATCCAGACTGCCGATCCTACATTTTTTTTCTCAATGATTTGCAATTAGAAGATCACTATATCGTGGATCTCTGTTTATCTTAGTGGTTTACTTGTTATTTTTTGTATGGGAACCCAGAAAAAGCAAACATATTGCTGCAGGGATGCGTCATGACAAGTCCATTTTCTCCTAGGACACAAACATTAAGTATCTACCCGACAGAATGGTACGCTAAGAAAGTTGATTGTACCAAACAAACCTAAATCGGGCCAAAAGAGTGAAAACTTTTTTTTTTCTTGGACGCTGCAGCATATTCCGGTATCACATCTAGACTTGATTCCAGCCTCGACAAGACGGAGAAACCTTTTGCAATATGACCTTCTGATATTCCAGATTAAACTTTGCATGCCACGCATATGACGAACAACGTAGTGCAATATCTCAATACGATGAACAACAGGTATTATTGTTCGAACGTTAGGTATTGAATATGAATAAGCTATATTGCCCGGGCTATCCCTCTTTTCTTTCGACGTTGCGGCTCTTCCATGACAAATGAATCAATAAAAGTTGTTTGAGAGGTGTGTTACCTCCTTGCTATTTCACAAGCGGTCAATGCCGGAAACCTTCTTTACTCTTAAAATTTCCTACCGTACACTCCTAAAACCACTAATTTACATCCAGAACATGATCCTTTTCGGATATACACAAACAAGGGCTGTGCGTAACAATGCTGCCGTTGTAATGAGCTTCATCAAAGCAAGCTGTTCCGTATAACAATCATTCAGTCCAGCACAACCATTTTAAACTATGCAAGTCGCAGACTAAGTTCAATGGTAGAACGACTGATGTAAAATTTTATAGCATGAGATTGACAAAACAAGTTCGGGTTACGCCTAATTTAAGTACATTGCAGCATTGTAGCATCCAAAAGACTCCCATTGTTTTTGGTAACTTATACAAAATTCGTACCAAATAACTGCTACCATATTTACCCCTTCTAGCTACTTTTTGGTACCTCATGTAGTCCAGGATATAATGTGGTGTAATCAGTTTTATGTTCGAAATATTAGAATGATTCGGTTGACTTGATATGATAATCATCAATGGTTGTGTAGCAATGACCCTCATTCGTAAGATAATCAATAGCTTCCCTGACTGCATTTTCATTATAAAGACCTTGCATTCTTTGAATGATCTGGTCGACACTAGCGCCTTCCTCACGGTCTTGGTACATCTTGATGGTATCGATAACGCGTTTATGGATGTCGCTGCTTCCGCCAGATCCCACATCCATGCCTCCGTAAGAACTAGCTTGACCCATCACAACATCCGTCCCCTAAGTAGAGTGATAAAGAAAGAACTAAGTGTCATTGAAGCGACATTGTTGGTTTTTGGTTACCGAGCTAGGTCTTGTAAATGTGACATGTGTATAGATCGCATCCAAGAAATGGTAGCTAATCTCGTTGTAATCAGTGATAGGCCGGATGGCAAATGCAACACAGCTGATACGGTTGTTGAAATTGTTCAGACGTCCATACACGCGCACGTACAAATCCGGACTAGCACAACTCTATTAGAAGATCATCCTCCTCAGAGACTTTGGGATATTACACTAATTCCCTGCGTTGTTGGGTTTCCTCTGCAGTCTCGTTCTGTTCCACCCATCGTCGAACCTCTATTAGACCTGTGCCATCCTCCATTGTGTATGAATAGTTGGTAGTCATCTCCTGCACCTGACGGATCACGGCGACAAAAGTCACCTAACATTTCCCAGTTACTCTCGGCTACCTCGACGTAATTTGGCTGTACCTGAGTGACATCAGCACCGTCGATCTTGAAGCTAGTATCCTGATGAACCTGCGCATTTCTGATTTGTTTCAATGTAACAGGTCGAAGGGTTTGTTCTCCCATGGGTTTCTATAGTATGATTTAAGATAATCGCTCATCGAAAGTTGTGTCCTTCTTACCCTTGGCATAGCCGCATTGTTTGATCCGCCTTCCATGAATCCGCCTCCTAACGAACCATCGACCAGTTCAAGCTTTACTCAAACAATTCTACCAGCCATACCTTCCATTGTATAGTGCTACGCGTTAACGTTAAGTGAACCCCGCGACGCAAAAAATTCGCGTGTCTTTTGATACCCGCGCGACTGCGACGTCATATGAAGTATGCACTGCTGCGGAAACAACGCGTTTAACAGAAGGGGAAATGTAAACGGAGCAAAACATTTATAGTTCTCGGTGACATTGCGTTATTTTATTGGAAAGAGATATATACAGTACATGTACGGCTAAAGTGCAGTCAGGTTGTGCCAAACGGCTCGATGGGATGACGTCCGAAGCTATCGATTCACATCAATAGCCTGTATATACCGGCCGAGACAAATACTGGAAAAACGAAAGAAAAAACGTTGATACTACGTTACTTGCAAGCTATCACTTACAAGAACCAACTACGCCCAGTCCGACTGCTGTATTTGCCTTCCCCGGAAGCTTGTGCATCTTCGAAGCTTCAAGAAATGCATATATTCCTAGTCCACTGAATGCAGCTGCTCCAGTAAGCTTGCAAGGCAAGCAATCTTGGTATCCATTTCCATTCTGGCTTTGAGTTGCTACTGATTCAGTCATTTGCGATGCGAGACAATTTAAGAGCAATACAGCTTTGGGACATTTTAAGCATACATATTGCTGGGCCGGACTTTTAAGTCGCAAGCTTTCATTTTTCTGGTATTGCCTGTTTGGATTCTGAAAATGTCAAGAGTTTAAATTGTTATGTGCTGATTGTAAAATTATACAGTAACTGCTTGAAGAAGACAAGTCAGCAATGCAAAGGCATGGTTTAATTCAAGCTGTAATAAGAGCTGTAAATATGCGTAAAGAGGTTCTAAATAGCTTTGTAAAAGTGAGTACCAGATATATATTTCGATTAAATATCAAATCTTTATATAGATTGCAATATACAAAAAAAGACAGATATAACCAAAGGAATACAAATAGGATTAAAAGATGATTTAGACAGTGTTTCAGATGTTTTTGTGAGAAAATAGAAAATGTTTTGTCAGTAAGCTATTGCGTTTACACATTAAGTAGATCATTGATATTAGAGACCGGGAAAAATGTGTATATATCAAAAAAATGTTGTGTACGTTGGCGGAAAAAGTTTGAAGTAGAGAAGTGTATTTAACTATTAAAAAACTATATGTAGATTTTTTATAAAATTTAAAAAAAGAGATCAAAAATTAAGAAAAAATAATTAAAAGCTATATTCTACTTGTTATAAATAATCTAAATCTCTTAATATCTGGTTTTTATATATAATTTATCTGAATATTTAATTAAATTTAGTTTAGATTCAGTCTAAATCTTTTATATATTTATTTAGAATGTATCCACTTTGTATAACTTCATTTTGCTATTTAGTTTACTACGTAGAAATATCTAACAAGTAACTCTTTAAAGTAAATTCGGCTTAAGGTAAGCCTTTTTGTTATATAAGTTTTAGCAAAATTTGCTCATTGTTAGCCCTAGTGGCCAAGTGGATTACGGCACCTGGCTCCTAACCAGGAGATCGTGGGTTCGAGTCCCACCTGGGGTACTTTTTTTGCCACTTTCAATAGCCGTCGACCAATCAAATGTTGTGCCTGCAAAGCTGTAGTGACACAAAGCTTTTGCTCAGATCGGCCTTGATCCAAAAACGGCAAACCTTTAACGCATCGGTCTTCATCACAAAACAGCAACATCTCCAGGAAGACCATGCTCAGCGAAATCATTACATAATCTCTTGTCCGTTTATTTTACTTATTTTGAATGCTCGTCCGCCTCGGCATTGTTACAATTAGTTTTAGAAAAAATATAAATATCCATAGATTTGTTGAGCAATAAAGATCATCAACCGTTTATTCTCTATTTCTTTTGTTACCCTTGATCCCCAGTGGGTTTTACCTTTGCCAGGAAGAAAACCCAGATCAGGAAGAAAATACCGCGCACGACACAAATGTGTCGTAGCACTTTTCCGCTGTGTCACCTTTTTGCCTCTTTTGGAGTACGTCAGTACTAGCTTCGTTACCGTGCGTCAAATGCTCTCATTGTGAGTGATGACAAGTATCGTTACGCAAGGACAGAAGTCTTCATGATTCACCAACGGTCAGCTCATAGAAAAATAACATAGTATATATACCGTCGAAGTAAAAACGAAATAAAAATCATTATCTGTCTATTTTATTACGTTATAAATCCTCTATTATTGTTTCTGTTATACCTGGCCATTGATATTCCACTGAGCGTACGACGACGGCAGATGCCATGTCCTACGTTTTTTTTCTGATCAAGATTTTCTTCGTGGCAATTGTCGTCGCCGTAATCTGAGCTGGAATCCAATGGCAAAATGTAAACGAAAAAAAAAAGTGGTGGATATTAAAGAAAATAGATGGATAAGAAGAAGATTTATTTTCAAAACTTCTTTAATGTTCATCATTTTCTGAGCTATATTACGTAATCAAGTGCAGTAGTGAAATACAAGGGAAATGATGTAAAAAGATATCAAGTCAGTTTCGGTGGAAAGCTACTTCTTAAAGATGATATCTTTTATGAACGAGGACCAAGAAAACAGTATCAGGTCTTATCTATGACTGTTATTCACTTTCTACTGCGATCAAGGGTAAGAAGGGAAATGGGGAATAAGCGGATAGACTTTTATTGGAAAACAAGTCTATAGATATCTATATTGCTTGTAAAACTATTTGTAACAATGACTATACGCTTGAAACATTCAAAACAGTACAACAAACGAACAATTGCCGAGCTTGGACTTCCTAGAGATGTTGCTGTTTTGTGATGAAAGCAGACCGTTTAAAGACTTGCTGTTTTTGGCTCAAGACCGATCGCCCAAAAGTTTGGGTTACTATAGCTTTGCAGGCACGACATAAATTGCGCCCGGTGATGTAATATAGCTTGCCATGCTGATGATGTTTTTCAGATGATGTAATTCGGAACATGGTCATCCTTTAGTTCTTCCACGTCAAAGTGGCTGCAGAACACGCCGAGATTGATATAATGGGATCTCGATATAATACAATGCAAGAAATTTAAACAGTAGTGGTCCTAGAGCGTATGGATTACGAACACCAGTGTAGTGGAAGCGAGATGTTATCACTGTTTGATTGATTCACATTTTATCAATGTTTTGGTTAGGATGAGGCACAAGTAGATAGAAATGACTTTTGTCCAACAGACCTACCCTTTATCGCTCTGGTCTCTCGTTTAGCTGGCTGTTGATTCAATTGATTACTTTTATGGTAATAAGGTAGGGGTAAAAGAAATCGACTGAAAACACGGCACATGGTTAGCAGTAATTGTCCGTTCCTTGATGAAGAACTGTTAAAGTCATTGGCGATATGAGATACAGAGACAAGTAGAAAAGAATTAAACAGACAATTTGCTTATCCGCAAAATGCTCGATAGTTCAACTCTTTTCTAGACAGGGATAAGAAGGGATCAATTAACGTAATCACGGATTACTACGCCATCAAATTTGCTATGCCATTTAGGGAGAATATGCAATCGTCCGCTAGGTAATTAACTGCCCCTTATATAATGGCTTTAAGCACTTAGCTAAGAATGTAGTCAAACAGATGGCACCTTTCACAGTGCACACCAATTATTGATCAGGATGCTTAGTACCATAATATTATCACATCAGCCCAATAAGAGTACCTGCAAACGGTTGCTTCTTAGCAAAGAGGAAATTACCCGGCATATAGGGTGCTACTGGTAACGGCAGTAACATGGTACACACATATTTTCATGGTATTTACAGCGTTAACGCCCCTTATATATGTTGTATATAACTATTAAATGTTAACCTAATGATCATCATTTACCTTTACAAAAAGGTCATAGCTTACCGGTCCCTTCATTTACAGGAAAAAACCATATCAGCTGATTTTAAGCAACACGGTAAGGAGCAAGAAGCTGTAGGTGTCTAGACTTACTGCTGTTGGTTTGCAAGATAGCTACGTTGTACAGTACCGGCTAGCTAGCAAAAGCTGGTTACCAATAGTCACTTATCAAATGCCAGTTTAACTTCTTTTATTTGAAATGAAGCGTGATGATTCTTTGGCTGCATTACCATTGTTTTACCAGGGATATCAAAGGGAAACCTGCCAAACTTCTCGTTTACGGTAGTATGGTTTAACCGCCCCCTTTTAGAGGTTGTGCTATCCCTACACTTCACAAACAGACGCTCTATCTATATGTATCGTCGCATGGTTACTAAAATTCGACCGTATGTCCGTCCCACATTTATAAAATAATAGATTAACGTAAAAGTCTACTTTTGGTTGGACGAGATGACATTGTACTTTACTTAAAAAACTTTTTTGAGGGAAGGGGGAAAAACAAAAACTAAACGTGTAACAGGAAGAATACAAGGGGAATTGCTTTTGCTACACTGATTTTTCTCGGAATACTACATTAACATTATCCTGTTGCTTCTACTTCTTTCTGGTAATCATGAGGCTCTTCATCTTCATGTAGCGTTTTTGAATCGCGTTTTTCCTCTGCCTTTTCGCGTGCAGCTTGGATTTTTCTGTATTTTGGCGTTCGGACAAATTTCGGCACAGAGTCTGAAGCCATGAGTCGACAGATATGGTCCTCAACCTTGTCAAGCCATTTCAGCATAATTCTTAAACTTTGGGATGTTGAAGGTGTGGAGATAACAATAGTTGGCTTGACTTGACCTGGTGTATAGGTCGGGACAATGGTAACCATGGATGATACTACACGAGCCATCTCCTGCAGCATTCCATGCTCTACATTAAGCTCAGATGGTGCACCAGGTGCTAGATAGGTAGACCATATATCGTAAGCATCTTCCAACAAGTCTTTTTGATTTTGTGTTGGCATAGCCGGGCTCTGGTTACGTCGTTTGCGCTTCAATGTATTTAGATCGATCCAGAAATCCAAGTTTTCCTCGCAGAAATTAGCTCGAAGAAAGTCTTTGAATAGCGATCTTAGCTGAGGGTCATCCAAGATAACCTTCAATCGCTGGGAATTTCCTTCATTGACATCAACTGCTGTGGTACTGGGTGGTCGCGGTAAAGTAGGGCTAGATTCCTCCGGGATTTCTTCTTTGCCATCGTAATCTTGTGATCGTGGTCGGGCAGACGCGTCTGTTGTGTCTGCTGCCGCTCGCATCGCAGCCTGGGTGGATTCGCTGACCAGCTGTTTGCCTTTGTTGGTGATGATCAAGTTGACTCCTTTAACTGCTCGGACATAGCTGACGGCCTGTTTACTATCTTGATAGGCAACCCATCCTTGTTTTAAGAATTCTGTGGCAAGCACTTCTGCCTCATCTCGTGATGCTACAGAACAGTATTCGGCTAGCCATTCACAGCATAGCAGGGAGGAGAAGACAGCACGCATGATTGTACCGCTCTTATGTCGTTTCGCTGTGGTTACTGAAGCCGATTGCGAAGATGCTTCGTTAGAGCTCATAGCAAATGGAGCATTAGACCCTTGTCCTGATGAGCTGCTTGAGGAAGAGGAGGAATCATTAGATGCAATGGATGCGGGTCGCGAAGGAGGAGTGGCTGGAGTATCCCCTTCCAATGGTAAACCGCTGATCATCGCTCGAAATACAGAAGACGCGTATTGACGTCCTAGTAAGATTTGATCGTCGTCGTCAGTGCGGGCAATATGAACTACCTGGATCGTATTGATATGACTGAGGTGCTTTTGCCGTGGCGACCAGTCAATCTCAGTTCGTGTACAGAAATCCTTGAGAACATACAATCCTTTGGGCGTCAGTTGCCAGATATTACGATCACGAAATGACCGGTTTTGCTGATCCACTGCATTCTCAAGCAAACGTGCCCAGACAAAATGCTGACATAATGCCTTTGCCATGTCGCGTGCCATATTAAACGTTGTAGTTGTAGTAGTACGTAGTTGTTTTGATGGGTCGTTGGGATCTTCTTTTCTAACAGTGTGAGAGAATTTCAAGTCTCCTAGGGCTTCTATCGCGTCTTCGGAGGAGAATGTGTTGGCATAGTTCCGAAACAAGTAGCGATGGGTATCAAATTTAATCTGTACAATCAGCGCGGCGAACAGATCATGAATATCCTGTAAAGAGCGATTTAGCATTTTCCTTTTAAATTTTTTGGCTAAATGCACTATGAGATGATCTACCTTCACATAGGGTCGCCCGTCAAGTGTGAATTTCATCATGGATGTGTAAGCTTGCTGTGAAACGCCTGAATCCATTATTCAGTATACTTGATATTGTTGATATTGTTCAATTAATGAAATTTGGGAAGAAAAACCAAAAGATGATTGATTTATAACCAATGTACGATGCAGAGAACGGGTTTGTATACTGTAGGACGGGGTGTATTGTCACTAAAACGTGTTTTTTCTTTTGGGGGAGAGGGATCATAGGGATGTAGAGACAGCAAGTTTTAAGGAGCAAGCTCATCTCTATAGCTACGAGAACGGGGGGATGTTCTGGGTTGCGAAATATCAGAGTTATAATTTATTACAACCTTGAAATCAAGACTGAGGCGACTAAGAGCGAGCATTGCATTTTCATACAACTTG